AGCCTGACGCGGGGCTCGAACTCACGGACCGCGAGATCGTGACCTGGCTGAAGCCGGACGCTTAACCGACTGCGCCACCCAGGCGCCCCTTATCCCCCTTTTTAATGTGGCTACCAGAAAATTTAAAATTGCATCCTTGGCTCCCATGACATTCCCACTGGACTGCACTGACTCTGAGGCTCCGAGTCTGAAGGGATGCGGTACCCACAGCAGGTACCACATCTGACACACATAGCGTTTCTTCCTACGAACGTACTAAAGGAGGGGGTGACTACAGTGGTTAATGGGACAGCGTGCAGACAGTTCAGTGACACCTCAGACTCAGACACAGGGTGTGATGCGACCAGGTGTTGTCCCTCTCAGACGACTGGTTTGACTTTGTGACATGAAGTCAAAACTGGACAGGGCAAGTGAACGGGATACCCTGATGCAGGCATCCCCACCAGGCATCCACCCCTATAGGACGTTCACTCCAGAGCGTTTAGCTCAGGACTTCTTGCTACAGGACAAGGAGATAACCTGCCGCTGTTGATTCTTAGCATGCCCAAACTGATTTTATTTCATCCTTATTGATGTAAGGGGCTTCAGCCTTTTCGGGTAAACTGCCTGGACAGAGTTAGTAGAATTAGGATTCAAGTAATTTTAAGCTTGATGAACTAAGCAACAATTTATCAGTGGCTTTCAACCTTGACAGCATATTAAAATAACCTTGGGTCTTGGGGAGCTTTTAAAAAATACCTGCACTTGGCTCTATCTCAAGCCAATGAAGTCAGAAGGAGGGGAGGGGAGGAGAGACCTCTCTCTCTCTTGTTTTAGGGATTATTATGTTCTTGCTCTCTGTAATTAATATTGTTGATGGTATTTGTTCTTCAGTTAAGGAGAAAAAATAGGGTAAGTTCTATGATTTGTTATTTCCTTTTAGCTGGTGGCTTAAACTAAATGGCTAGCTCACTTTTACCCATGAAAGTCTCCTGTCGCCTTCTTTTTTTTCTTTTCTTTTTAAAACAAGGTTTCTATTTTTCAGCTCTCAGCTGGCCTTGGCCTCACTGAGATTAGTCACTCCCTGATTCCACTTGACTCACTTTCTCGGCCCTGGTCCCAGAGGCACCCCCTCCACACTTCCCCTCCTCTGCCTTACTTTCTAGTTTCTTTGATTCACGTCTCCACTCTTCGTCCTCACAAGCTTCCTTCCTTGTTGTCCTGAGGCTAACATAGTCTCCTCAGGTTGCAGCTATAAAGATATCACACATATTTATCTTATCCTCCTCTTTTATAGCCCTTTAAAGAAATTTTCCATCTGGGCAAAACACTGATCAAAACCCTGGACCCAAAAAAGGGAAGCTCATATTGGGTGTTTCCACAGTTCAGTTGTAGACTCAGTGAACTTGCACTCATAGATATGGTGAGGGTATCGTGGAAGGAGGGCATGCTCTACTCTCTGGAAATCCATTCACATAGAGCTTCTGTTCCGTGATGGCGATGTGGCTCCCAGAAAGTTGAGCATGGGTGGCACATCCCTGAGTGTGCGCTTGTTCTGGCCTATGTGTGAGCCTGTCTGCCCACCCCATAGTGGCGGGGGAGGGAAGGCCGTGATCAACCTGTATAGACTTCATGTTGTGTCTGTCCAAATGCTTTGGAAGCTGGCTTCTTCCTGCCGAGATACCTGGCTAGTCTCAGACAAATAATTGGGATTCCTGGATAGAACAGATTTCTGCTAATCCCCTCAGCCCAGATCAAGTCTCATGAGAACTCAACCTTACAAGACTTGTTTGAAATCCCACTGGCCTCTAGTATACTTTTATTGGAAGGCTGCTCATCCTAAGCAGTTTGCCAAGAAGGGTATGCCAAGAAGGGTATTGTGTGTCCTGCGTGGTAAGTATACTTGAAGACTAAAACTAACATATGTGATTATATATTGTATATTGTCTATAAAACATTTTATATTTATACATCGTATATACATATATGTTTATATACATACACACATACCTGCGAAGTTCTTCATTCTTCAGAATCGACATTTCCCTGCTCCTGGAGAATCTCCACCTTCTTACATCTGTGTTTCCTATGCAATGAGGCACTGCACTTCTCACACAGTCTTTATGCAATTCTGGTGACATTTTCAGCTGCTGGTCTCACTTTTCCTACTATCCTAGGTCTCTCCTCCTGGCTGGTGGCTAGCAAATGCATGACCGGTACAAAGAGAAAACAAAACAAAATATGGTGGTTGTATCAGGCAAATGAGAGCACAAGATATCACATTTGATTTAACATCAATAGAATTTCCCTGACTGCATTATGCCTCTAACTTGTGCTTTTGGTTCCAGGAGCTCGTGTAAATGCCAAGGACAACATGTGGCTGACCCCACTGCACCGGGCTGTTGCCTCCAGAAGTGAAGTGAGTGATTATCTTATATAATCTAGCACCTCCAGGCCACAGAAAGAGAAAAATGCTTTCTGCTGAATTCGGTATTGTTGCTTGTGAACAAAAGGCTTTTCCTTCTAATACAAGAGGGTTACCAAAAAACAGTTTGTTCTTTTGAGCACCTCCTTCATGCCAGGCATGGTGCTGGGGGTGGTGACTGGAGTAGTCCCAGGTAGACAGTGGGATACTTGACTTCAGTGAGTTCTCAGTCTGAAGGGGGTGCTAAACATGTAAGCAGATCAGTACAATATCATAACTTAATTGGAGGAGGAAGAAGATAACTGCCTGAGTAGAGAAGTCTTCCAAGAAGAGAGGTCGGTTGAGCTGGTGCTTAGAGGATGAGTAGGGACTTACCAGGCCAGAAGGAGGGGGGAGGCTGGAGGCAGGACAGTAGACGTGCTAGAGGACAAGGGCCATGGACATGAATGAATGGCAGGTTCAGATGGCTATAGATGGAACAAGGGATGTGGTGGAAGATAAGTCTGATGGCAGAGGCTGGGGGTCCTCTGAGCAGTAGGGTACAGTCACGGCAAGATAAGAATGAACCTGACAGGACTTGGGACCTTGTGAGGGTGAGGTAGAAGAGAGGTCACTGGGTGAATGGTGATGCCATCGATTGAGAAGGCAGAGGCAGAGGAGCAGGGAAGGGAAGTTAATCAGTTCTGTATGAACATGTCACATTTGGCAAACATATTACCAGAATGTAAGCTCTATAAGGACACAGACCTGTTTGTTGTTGTTGTTGTTGTTGTTGTTGTTGTTGTTGTTGTTTTGTTCCTTGATGTGTCCCAAGCCTGGTGCTCAAGAAAGAATTTATTTTAAATTCCAAAAATGCAGGTGAAGATGGTTAATAGATGGTCATTTTTTATACACGTCTAGCACTGAGGAACTGAGAGGATGTTCATTGAAGCTATAGCAAATCTTAAAAAAAAGGGGGGGGGAGGGGCGCCTGGGTGGCTCAGTCAGTTAAGCTTCTGACTTCGGCTCAGGTCATGATCTCACAGTTCATGGGTTCGAGCCCCACGTTGAGCTCTGTGCTAACAGCTCAGAGCCTGCAGCCTGCTTTGGATTCTGTGTCTCCCTTTGTCTCTGTCCCTCCACTGCTCACTCTCTGTCTCTTTCTCAAAATAAATAAACATTTAAAAAAAATTTTAAAAAGAAACTACAGCAAATGGCTCAGCTGGTTCAGGGAAAGTATAACAGATGGGAAGAGAGAACCAGTGTGGGGGAGGGGTGGCCAGGAATGCTGGTGAATATGAACCTTGCAACCTCATCAGAGGGGATGCCCACCATCCAGGGATACAAGAGGCTGTCACCTAGGGGGCACTTGTCATTGGATGACTAGTTTTTGTAGCTGATTTTTTACCAAATGAGGCTTCTCTGCTGCTGGAGAAGGTGCTGTTCTCCAGGTACAGCTAGGAGCAAGTGGTGTTGCTGACGTGTTGATGGCTATCATCAGCGTCAGCTTTTCCTCTTTGGCAAACTATCTGGACATTTCACAATATGCTTCGTAGATGACAGTTAACTTAGTGCTCATAATCTTCCTTGCTGTGCTGTGTGATTTGAGTAGTTTTTATAAGATGCGGTCTGTTCTCTTTCCCAATAGCCCACATGGAATGAGGGAAACAAATGATCCTAAGTTGCCTGACTCAGATCCTGGGGAATCCAGAATCTCCTTATGGTCTCACATTTCATTTCTGTTTTACCTGGGAAAGCAGGTACAGTGGGCTGCCTGAGTTTGTATGACCAGTGTCATGTGTCATGAGACTAGCTCCTTCACAGAGTATTCCTTGGTCTTTGAAGACTGTTTGATCTTCAGTAAATTTCTTTTTTTAAGTATTCTTCAAAAACTATGAGTTTTATTCCTCTTTTAACATGAACCAGGTCTTTTTAGTTAAAAAAAAAAATTCACCAAGCACTTCCAACATGCCAGGAACTGTGCTTAGGAGGCTTGTAGTCTAGTGGCACAGAAAGATGTAAAACCAGATGATTTCAGTATTATGTGATCTTTCCCAAGTGATCTCTCCCTTTGTGAGCTCAGCTACTTGCTTTAAATCTTCAAAACACCCATTTGCCAGCAACCATCAGCTTGCCTTCCTTACATGTCTTTAGTGTATTTGATTGAGTTCAGTCAACCCAATGATGATTCACCCTTTATGTCTGAGACAGGCGTTTGTTGCTTCCCTGAGGAACCAGCTCCCTCTACAGGTTTGCTGAGGGAAAAATATCCCTTGCAGGTGTCTCTTGTTAGGAAGGAATTAAATGCAAGCCGACCCTGAGTTGTAGTCAGGGTCATATCTTCATATTAATATCTGTCACAACAAGTCAAAAAGATTCTTATGAAAATCGAAGTCTCTGTGACTGTCGTTGGAACAGACTGTGGACATCTGAACTCCAACACAGCACTTGGCTGTGGAAGTCCTAAATTCAGATTTTCTTCTTCCTCTGAATTTGATTTATTATGTGATTATTACATTCCATTATATCTCCCCTAAATAATAGCTGAGAAAAGAGAAGCAGGCTTGAGGAGAAAACAACAGAGAAGGTTTGGATTGTGTTTTGGAACTTGTCTGTTAGCATTTGCCAAAGGAGATGTGTGTGCTCAGCTTGAGAGTTGGCACATCTGTCTGTTGCTTAGATTGGCAAACACTGGTGTATGACTTACGTGATTGTGAATTAAAAACCGTTTCTGCATTGAAAGGCTTATGAACTCTCTTCTGTCCTCAAAGCCCTTTGCCTCTGAAATGTAGGCAATTGATGTCTCGGGGCTCAGGGTTCAGTCAGGGACCCAGAACCACCATGAGAGATACAGAATAAGATATTTATTGTAGTAATTAAGCCTCACACAATTGTGTGAGCTGCTGGAGAAGTTTGTGTAAGGCCATCACCTTGGTTTCTGTGTGGTTCTGAAGTCACTGCTGGTGGGCAGGGTCTGCAGTTGCAAAGAAAAGCTGGACGTGAAATGGGGGAGAACAAGAACAAACTAGAACCCCTGACTCTCACTGCCTCAACATTGCAGACTTGGGAGACTTGCAGAAGGTGCTGTGTGCTTCACCTTAGAGCTTGTGGGCACCTGACCCAAGAACAGGAGAACCCAAGGGAGATACTGTAAGTTCTGAAGAAGCACCAACCATGTCCTGTGCCAACACAGGGTCCAGCTGGTCAGTGACAGTGTGTGCAAGCTGCAGCGGCACCTGGCACCCAACACACCAATCAGGCTGTGGTTTCATCTATGCCTCCCAAAATCCAGGCAGATTTCCCTTGTGGCAAACAGGGCTGGGGAGGGGATTCTGGGAAATATAGTTCAGCTTGGCTATGTTGACACAACATAAAACTATCACTGAAGTTATTATTCTATTCTAATTAAAAAGACATTCTCAGGGCACCTGGGTGTCTCATTTGGTTAAGTGCCCGACTTCAGCTCAGGTCATGATCTTGTAGTCCATGAGTTCGAGCCCTGCGTCAGGCTCTGTGCTAACAACTCAGAGCCTGGAGCCTGCTCCAGATTCTGTGTCTCTCTCTTTCTCTGCCCCTCCCCCGCTCATGCCTCTGTCTCTCTGTCTCTCTCTCTCAAAAGTAAATAAATATTTTTAAAAAAATTTTTAAATGACATTCTGGATAGTAAGTTCCTTGAAATGAGTGTCATGCCTGTTGCTTGTCACTGTGTTTCCAGCATCTAACCTGCTCAGTAAACAACTGTTTTTTGAGTGATTCATTAAAGACTAGATTTCTAACTTAAGCTATGTTCATGTGATTCTCTGTACAACTGCTAACATAGAACTAGTGTGCACCACAGAGAATGCCGATGGTAATCATCCTTCATGCATGCAAGGTAAACTGACTCGAAGCTTGTTTATGGAAGTGTGGCACAGGAAGCTGTTTAAGCTACTGGAACCCGCGAGATCAGGGTGAGTTTCAAAATTGTATGCAGCACAGATATCAGTAGAAGTCAAAGATATCGATATCAGTCAAATTTTCTGAGCTTTCTTTCCATCCAGGCAAGTTTTATGTTCAGGTTTCTATGCCTGGAAAAATCATATTCATTGCTAAATGTATTTCCTGAGCCTGTAATAGCAATAGAAGTATCAGATTATAATATTGCTTAAACATCAACCCATGCCTGACAGAAAAGCTCCTACACACACAGGAAAGTAGATCAAGACGTGGTCATACCCTCCGAAGACTGTCCAGCATAGACTGGGATCTGGAGATAAACCTTCAAGACTTTCTTGCTACTGACCAGGCTGTGTTGTGTGCTTCCTTCTGATGCTTCCCCGCGTCCCCCTCCTTCCTCCCCACCTCCTCACACCTGGGATTCCCAGGGAGGAGACAGCCAAACCAATAATTGGAGCCATAGCACTGTCTTCTGCGCGACCCCCCAAAGGCTTCTTTCACCACCACCTCCCCTTTCTCTGACTACTCCCACTGCTGAGAAGAAATGAAGATATCTCTTGCCAAAGTGTTAGGGAAACATATTTTGAGATTCTAGATAACACAGATGAGCAACATTTGGGGCTTCCAGGAAGAGTTTTCTGAAGTGTGAATTATTTCTGATTGTTCCTCCTGTTTAACTTATTCTTTTTTTTTTTAATTTTTTTTAACATTTATTTATTTTTGAGACAGAGAGAGACAGAGCATGAACAGGGGAGGGTCAGAGAGAGAGGGAGACACAGAATCCAAAACAGGCTCCTGACTCTGAGCTGTCAGCACAGAGCCCGACGCGAGGCTCGAACTCACGGACCGTGAGATCACGACCTGAGCCGAAGTCGGCCGCTTAACCAACTGAGCCACCCAGGCGCCCCCCTGTTTAACTTATTCTTATTGCTTTTTTGTTTTTCTGTCTTAGAAAAGAGCAGCCATAGGGGACAGGAATTAAATGCATATGAACCTGGACAGTTTAATACCTTGTTTATTAGAAGCCACCCAGTGGAGGACACTGTTAAGTGTGCTACAGGGGCCTTGAAGGGTCACAG